CGGCAAGATGAATTGGCCCCTAGGTGACGAACGTCTCCAGCCGGCCAATTCATCAACAAACCGAACACGCCTCACCCGCCGCCTCGCCACCCCGCCCCCCCCACCCCGCCCCACCCAAACCCGGCCCCGTCCGCCTCGCCACGCACCATCGGCTCCCGCCATGCCCACTCCTACACCGCCACGCCAGCCACTCACCACCACGCCCTACTATGCACCATCACCACCCACACCCCGCCCCTTTCCACCACTCGGCCACGCCCCGTCACGCATTACCACTCACGACCACGCCCTGACAACGCACCATCGGCTCCGCCTATGCCCACTGACAGCCTGGCCACCTCTCCCCCACAACACAAGGCCACGCAACTACCGCTCACCACCACGCCCCGCCAATCACCACCACGCCTACTATGCACCATCACCCCCCGCCCTCCCCACCACCTTCGCACGCCCCGCCACGCCCACTACTACGCACCACCACACTTGACACGCACTATCACCCGGCCACGCTCCCCCCCTACGCCCCACCGCCATGGCCCCGCCCCTCCCCACCACGCCGACGAACGCATCTCCACCCCCCGCCACTCACCATCACCCCCCTCCAACGTTCCGCCACACCCTCCTACGCACACCAACGCAAAGCCACACCCTCTCTCCTCACTCTACGCCCGGCGACACACCGCATGCATCGCCCTATTCGCGGCCCACCGTCCTTTCGCCGCGCGATGTCGTCACCGAATATAACAAGCGCGCCATTACTACGTAATTGCGTATTTACTAATCTATTAGCCCTATTAATTGCGTCCGGCGTATATCGAATTTCAGCGGCCCCGCCAATGCCGTCTAAATCTCGAGTGACAATTATGGGCGATGCGGCCCCGTCGATCACCGGCGCCGGCGGTAACGCTGTTTGTTCTGATTGAGCAGCTCCTCGCTGGGCAGCGAACAATTATCCAGACAACAAAATATGACGGTTAGTCGTGCCGCGCCGTGCCTTCGAAACATGCAATCAAAGGTCTGTAGCCAGTAGGCTGCATCCGCGAAGACGTTTGCAAGTGAGAAAATGGCTGCGTGCGCCAGCCATGCGCCGCGCCATTATTGATCACCTCATCCGATACTGCACGCGGACAAACAAAATTCGGCAATTGCAACAGCAAGCGCCTGCTGAAAAAAATGCGCGCCAGAAGTGCTGACAAAAGTATTACTCAGAGATAATGGGTCCGATAACTAGACTCTAGACGGTCGTCTGGACAGATGTTTTATGAAAATTAGTTAAACTCAGTAGCTGATACCTCACGCGGTGCGATAATTTTTGCGAATGGATATATCTTGTGTTTTATGCGTAGGCCATAGTGCATTGCTCGAGAAATGGATCCTCTACTGATGATCAGGTGCAATGTATCTCTAGCGATCTAGACAGAAATCTAACCAAAAGTTGATCTTCGACTCATTTTCTCGCTTTCCCGTAAAACGGTGATATGATCATGTTTCATTCGTGAGAGAAAAATCAACTAGGGCTGCGCGTCTCGAGACATGACTGAAATGGGCTCGCAGTGTACGGAGTAGTACGGGTTCTGCCTGTACAAAAATAAGATATACGAATTTTGAATTTAGATGTCACATGCTCCAGACATCCGGAGGTTAGATTCGATACCCTCCTCATCGGGCAGTTACAGTTGCCAGAATCCAACGCGTCCTAACACAGCTCACGATTCGTATTCTCTTCACACCTATAGCAGAGATAGCAAGAAATTGTTAAATTCCTTGCGAAGAATGATGCACTTCCGAATTTATTCAAGGAAACTTCAATTATCTCGCCTAGAAAGGTCATTACATCTTGAAACCTGACCCGTATGTGTTATCAGTCCTGTCCACACCCTAAACCATTTTCCACCTACAAATTGGAATTTCGGAGGCTATAACATACCAAATGAAAAAACAGTGTATAGTTTATTGCATCTTCGGTGATTATATTAAAGCTAGTCCGTCTGTGATGTTCATGCGATGTTGTTGATGTGTGAGTTTGTTGTATGTTGCGTGTAATTGGTAGTCTGCTTATTTTGATAGATTGTCGTGTGTGAGTAATATTAACTATCCTAGGAATAATTGTGAGATGTCTCCCTCGACTAGAAAGGCCTAAGTGTCACGAAGCCTTCCTCTTTCTGATTCTTGTATGATGATACATGAAAAAATATAGAATACATAGCTAGCGTTGTGTCTCCGCATTCTTATACTTAAATAAATGACACTTTAGGTCAACGTAATTGTTATTCAGTCTAGTTCGAGCGCAGGGCAAGCATTTAAATATATATTAAATATTATTTATACAATAGACTTCTATGTATAACAAACATAATTTATTTGAAAACAATAAAATGCGACCAACTCATGATTGAGACTCAAAATCTCACAACCTTATGAAGAACTACCCAACTCTTCTGAGATTCGTCGTAATGTCTTCAAATCTGAAAAATGTGTAGATCATTGTCTGTATTCCACTATATCACTTACAGATCTATCAATCTCCAATACAAACGACAGAATCTTGAAAAATAAAATACGCATTCAGAGAGTCGTAGTCAAAATTGGTTATATAGTTGAATATAGTGAAGCAGCATTATTCATAGAACATCCACAGTGGAAATACTGTAAAACGAAAAAGTATATATTGAAAGTACATTAGCGTGTATAAAACTACATTCATACAAAAAACTCTGTAGCTATCGATTTAACTAGATCGTAGGAACCACTCAGCGGTAATGTGTGATAAAACTAAGTGAATGTCTAACAGAATAGCACATCCTAAGTGTACACTACTACTCATATTTTTCTATGCAATTTAATCTGTTAGTCTTACTTAAAGCTATGAGTTTCAATAATTGTGAGTCCCTACACCCTTCATTCCAGCTTGCGTATACAATATCTGGCACCTAATAATAAATTTTTAACATTTTCTGTAATTTTACCCTCCCCCCTAAAAATGTTAATTGAAACATTTCTTTTAAGAATAATTATATGATCAGAAAAAAATCAATGAATACGCTATGATATGTAATATAATACCAATGTTGTCTCATTGCGACACAATCTTCTGGCATGAAGGCAAAATGTGTGAATAATCCAAGCATACTACTACTGTACTCGAAAAAAAAACGACATTTACATTTGATATTACACAAGCATTCTGATTGTTCTTAAAGCATCTAACTGATCATCGTCACAAAACCTTGACAGCGTACCTTAACAAGCAACATGATGGCTTCTATCTTCGTGATATATAGCCACAATCAGTGGGAAGGACAAGAGTATTAAGCTAAAGGATAACGCTTTTTAGTTAAAATAAATTACATCATCCGAAAATAAATATCATTCTAAATAATCTAATGTGACATAATTTCTAATTATTTTATCGGACTTGTGTCGCTGACATAATTATATAATCTTGTTTTAAAACAAAAATCCACTCACTGTTCTTGCTTTGTCTAAGTAAAACAAACCCTCAGAACAATTCGTTCCGCGGCATAATTTTACACGTATATTTACAAAATTTATTTAATAAAAAATAAAATAAATTACTATAAACGCACGATGACAATAAAAATTAGTACCACCGTTGTAATTTACGTAAAGCTGAGTGTATATACATTAGTTTCTAACTAATATTTCTGATTATTTTCTTTTGAATTAATTTTACGCAGCAGCCAAGTTATCAATGTACCTTCGTCCTTTTCTGTTGAGCCTTTTATCATAAAATAACTAAAAAACTTAAATATATTCATTAGGAGTATGTCTTCTTATTGTGTGTTAACCTTTTTATGAAAATTTAAAATTTATAAATATTGTAAATAGTAACAAGGACGACATGAACATTTTTATGTCTCCTCATGTGGAAGATAATCCTTTTGTTTTCAATAGATCTTGACGTATCTATTCTACAGAGCAAGAGAGATCGAATCTTCTTAATATTATTTAATCCGCTTCAACTTTACCTACATGACTAATATTTCACTGATTATATTTATTCACGTAATTTGATAATATATACTACTTATATTGACGAGAATTATTACTTTAATTTGAGAAACAAAACTATAACAATAAATATAATTTTGTGAACCGATTCAAAAATGTCATTTAATTTTCATTCTAACACACACAAAGGATAGGATTTTCATGATTCATGCATCTGCGATTACACATGAGATACTGATGTAACAAGGAGAGTGAATTGAAGAAAATCTATCGTATCGGTTGACAGTTAAACATCAATTCAACCGAACGAAAGTTAAATTCCCCAGCATCTTCTCTCTGTTACAACTCTCTCCCGTACAAGTGTGGCAGTGGCCTTAGTTGTTTGTTGGTAAGAAGAGGATAATTGGGATTATTTACAACAGAGCGGAAAAATTACTAGCGGGTTAACAATTTTAGAAACATGCAATCCCCGTATCGTAATTTTTTTCATATTCTAGGTTACATTTTAATTTATAAACGAACTTAATTAATAATGTAGCATAAATTATAGTTTTCTTTATTGGATTAACCCAATTAGT